TCGTTTTCTGCGATGTGATTTCTGTGTAATCATAATTTTGGCCCACCCTGTACATATGTAGTGTCGCCTTGTTTTACACCTTTCCCCATAGATGCTGCAGTGCTGCCGAGACCGCACTCTTCCAACTCTTCAGAACGGGAAGACCTGCACAGTTGTCAGTTCAGATCAGTTCCCTCAGACTGCAATCGACTAACCGTTCGCAGTAGTATCACGAGCGCAGTCACTCTGATCCCAAGTAATATGAGCAATAACGCGTCCCGCTTCAGTTGGAAGATGGGAACGATAATACTGCTTCAATGCATCTGGGATTCATCCTTTAGCACTTACACTGTTCAGGAACAGGAAAAACCATGTGATCCCGTGGTCTCCGGTCGCCTTGTATGCCTCCATTGATAACCTATACGTTCCATTTGCCTTCCCAACTTTCATCTTCCTTATTGGTCCAGGAACTTCATCTTCTCTTTGGAGTGCAATTGGATCAGCCGTCGCCTCCGTGGAAGTTGTCCTCATGGTAAATTCTCTGTGTAGGAGTCTATCAAAGGATTTCTCCCATCTACGCCTGACCTCACCAGCCTTCCTCACAAGTGCACTGTCGCTATTCTTTACAGCACTCACCATTCCGAAGCTTTGGTAGTCTGTAATCCGGCTTGAGCCAGCCTAACGACTAAACTCTTTTCTTCTTGGTCATCGAGTTTCTCGTACAAGCGTCGATTTTTACACACTTTACCATCGCTACTTCAATCTTGGCGCGCTCCTTGCTTTTATAGACGGCCAGTTTTTTTTTTTTGAAGTTGGAATCTTCCATGAGAGAAAATGCGGCTCTCTTCTGCTTCACTACTGGCTGAACTTCCCATTCTAGCGAGTAGTGAAGCAGAGCCACATTGCCGGATATGGAGGCCTTGCACGAGCACAAGAGAAGTTCGTCTTTGTGATGCTACTCCTGTGCTATTAAGCCATTTATTCGCCAGTCAGATTTACTGATCTCCCACCCTGTTTTAGGTTATCTTTCTGCAGACACCAGATAGTGGGCTGTGCTTTCTTCCTTCGATTCTGGCTCTACTCCACTGCCTATGTGAATCCTTTCACCGCTTCCAGTTCTCTCCATTCCACTCAGCCGGCGTAAAGAAACGACGAACAGAGTTTGCAGCGATGTTCTGCGCTTCGTTACGCTAACAAAGGCACAAAAATGTTCGCGAGCACAACCGTTGCAGATCGTCTTCTCAGCCTCTCAAACTGGAAAGGAAGGACAGGCTTCCTGTCAGAATATAAACTCTTCCGACTCTCAAACCTACGATCTATCAGAGCTTATCTGAAATCGGTATGAGTCAGCAATCTTGTAATCTCTCTTATATATAAAGCAGTAACTTGGAATGTCGGTTTGTCCGTTTGTGTGTTTCTCGGTTTGTCTGTCTGTCCATCCGTAAACCTTCATGATTACGATAAAGATAGTGATATGGGAAACTCAGCTCTATCTCACATTTCCTTCTTACATATAAAGAGTGAATTGGTGGTGGGTTGATTAATGGAGTAGAGTGAGTACTGCGTAGTGAAGTGAGCAGTGCGGAGTGAAGTAGATGCTTCAAAACTATAATCTGTTACGTGTGTCTACACAAAAATTGGACGTGATAATGTAGTTGGGAGACCTCCATTTCCCAACAACGAGAGTTAGAGCGTAGAGGTTAGCCGACAATTGCCCTCAGGAATGTCCCTCAGCCAAGAATAGACAGTTTTTTGAGATAATCTCGAGGAGGGAAGGAGCATCGGGTGGGTGAGTCGATGAATACTTAGCTTACACCCCATCCTAGCTCTTTGCACGAGGTTATCATCTCACCCCCAGGCCGGCGCTTCTGCCCTCCTGAGACATAGGTTGAAGCCATATATTTTCGCTAAATCAAGCACGGGTGAGGTCGGTTACCCTTCTTTCCCTGCTTTCTAGCCCTCAGGAATGTTGGAAAAAAAGCGGTCCACCTAACCTCCTACCTATCTGCAATTGCTTCGTAAAAGTAAGGAATGAGGCCCGGAGTAAGCCGGACAACCCGACTGTTTATATAATAATATACATAATGGAATAATGGAATATACAACACTACGCTACATCATTTCCATTATTATCGCCAGGAGAGCTTCGCACGCAGTTCAGCGGAGAGGAGTCTTCCGAAAATGACAAGTCCACAAAGCAGGATAAAGCAATACTAATACTGAACACTGAAACAGCCAAAAGTCACATAGCCATACTCAAGGAGACAAGCTGTAAAAACGCTTCCACTTACTGAAGCACAGCATGATAGAAGAATGAACCACCCAGCATGCGATATGCCATGCCGTTCTCCGAATCGAGGGGATAAACCATCCCTATCACTTACCATTTCATGTTTAACCAACGCTTGAGTTGGTAACCACTGTCCAGCTCACAAAACCGCGCCGAATGAGCGGCGCGATGGGAGGGACCGCGCCAAACGACATCTGCCCCCCTTCACCTATGAAACGCTTTCGCGTTCTCCAGATTTATTCAATTCCTTATTTCCTAATAGCAGTGACAATGGTATATTTGCTTGTATACAACTTCCCTTAGCTTTATTAGGAGATATTGACGGAAAGATTTCAACAGAAAATCTCAGGAAGGCTTCATGATCTCATCTGACTTCCCCGTTTCAGAGCTCTTTTTGTATTCAACACTGGGTTGAGCTTGTCTCTTGGTTCCAAGTTTTTTCGTGTGCATCCAATGATTTCATCAGTTCTCTTGTCGTGAAAGGCGTATTTCCATTTGCCTACGTCTGATAAGGCGGGCCCACTAATAGCAGAGGAGTTTAGGGTTGTCTAAAATAAAAAATAATCTCCATGGAACTCCTAGAAAGGTAGAAAAAAGCTTTTTTCGGATGTTGAGGCAAATTTTGACGCATGTCGCTACGTCAAAATCGTGGCCTTCGAATTCAAATGATAAGTTCCATTATGCACTCACTGGATGGATGCATATACATACTCTATTCGAACCCTACGAGTCGTGTGCAAACAGCTGCGATATGTCTCATCTCCGTCGGGATACACCACAGCTCAGCGCTCCCCTTTTAGCACTGTCGCCACGAATGGCATTTTCAGAACCATTGCGGTAAACGCTTCCATGTCCAGCGACTTAATGCTGACTTGCAAATAAAATAAGATGTTCGAGGAACAGGTGCACGGTTGGCCCGACCTTCTGGCAGTATTCGAACTACGTCTGAACGTCAAAAAGACCGAGACGTGACCAAGGAGTGAAAGGACCAAGGCGTTATAAAGATTTACAGCGACTTTTGCTTACATCGTCTCCAAGTACCTTAGGTCGGCAGTCGCGTTTGACGGTAGTCTGGCTCCCGAAGCTAATTTTGACGGTAGTCTGGCTCCCCTAACACATGTAAATGCGGCCTGGCCTCAATGGCGCTCCGTGATTGGCGTTCTCTGCGATAAGAAAATATTAGATAGCCTTAAACCAAAAAGCTAAAGAGCATACGACCAGCTACAATCTACGGTGCGGAATGTTGGCCTGTAACCACAGAACTTGAAACGCGCTTCGAAGCTGCGTGTAAGATCGGCCTCATTCCCAATGCTTCCGTTAAATGGTCTGAGGAACAAGTGGTTCGGCATCTTTGAGAACTTGCACGAAGAATTTAAACTACTCGGCCTTCATCCCGACCAAGCATTTAATCGAAAAATTGGAGTCAAGACAACAAACAACCTTAGCCCTTCTCACTGAGAACCACCTCAGCTACCGAAATAATTTTGAAACTATCACTGTTTTCATTCGAACTGTTCCTGAGCCCATTTCTCTATGCGTTCGTGGGGAGACACAAGGCAAAATCTTCTGCACTGGTTGCAGATGTGGTGTGGCTGCTTTTACATGATTGTGAAACAAGGTGGAACATAAAAAATCTGATTCATTAAAAATCTTGTGGCACCAAAACGAGGAGCCTCCCGATCTCCAAGGCAGTACTCTCGTCACTTCTCTAGGTGGGCGTTCTACCAACTCATCGATGACCTCGAAAGGATGGGAAACTTGCGAAGTTCGCCCTGGTGCTGGTCCAGCCTATGGTGCCCAAACCGTATGTAACTGCGCTAGCGGCACCAACTTATTCACTATCTTCAGCCCTTTCTCATGATTACCAAGGCATTCAAGATAAGTTCGTATTTCCCACTTCAAACCAAATTTTTAGTATAAAAGTATTATACGCCATAAATGGGGAAAATGTGCACAAAAAGAATAAGTACTAACTCGAGCAAAATCCACAGTACTACAACAATCTTCTTGACAAAAACGTGCTGCGATATTTTCGCCGTTGCTGCCCCAGTACACTCCGCAAAATCCTCGGAACTGAATAAAATGATGACAGCCACTGATCGATGTTTTCATACCGTTTTTGAGAAATACATAGCTCCCACGGATTCCTCAACCCTACACCTCTGAAGAATGCCCCACATGTCAAAAAAAAAAAGTTTCGTGAATTGCGTCCCACTTCATCGGATCGGCTGGGTAAGATGAGCACTCCAACAACACCCGACTCCAACATTCACAGAATGAGAGGTTCCATAATCAAGCATGCCATCGCTATTGACGCTATCGATTCTTATCTACCCGTGCATCAGTTTCGTACGAACTATATTCACCGTCGTATATTCATCGTCATAGCAAGGAACCGCATGTGAGTTTATAGACCACGCAGGAGAACGCAGGGTTCGAGGTAAACAACGTGTCGTCGGAAGAAAGGCCCTGCATATCAGATAGCTAGCCAGAATGACATTTTCGAACTCCTCGTGGCCCAGAGTTTCGTAGAACCCTAGAGAAATTGGGCATTCCCCTGAGCTTGGAGGAACAGAGCCGTGATTTCCTTTTCATATAGTGAATAGTTTACAATAACACTTATTAAATAAAAACTATCATGGCCTGGGTCTCCTAAGCTAGTAATGCATAATAAGTAGCAATGCTCATAACCTTCGCATTACAATTCTTATTGCTTATTTGCCTATATAACCACGCGCTTCAATTTCTATGGACTTCGTGGTTACCCCGTGCGTGAGTGAATGGATGGCGATTGTCATTTCATCGTTGACATTGACACTGACAGTTAGACCTACACTGGTGTAGCCTAGTGCGACTATTCTAGAAGTGGCCCAAGTAGTTACCGTATGATCGTCGCCGTTCTGACAAGAGGATTTCTCCTCAGTCAGTCGTCGTAGTTATTCATCCCGAACGCACCACATTGACCGCAAGAGCATATAGGAGACGAACACACCGCACAGGGTATCAGGAATGAGCGCGCGCTCCTAACCCTTGCGCACACCTAAAAGTGGTGTTCCGCCAAGTTCCATATCTTTATCATGTGGTTGACGAAGGTTTGTTGGCTGCCAAAACACAGAAGCACTGTGTTGGTCAAAACATTAACTGAGCAACTGAAAAACGGTAAACAAGCGAAAAACGAGCAGAATTATGCTACGTGGGAGGGGNGGGGAAGGACAGCAAGTGTCAAGAGGATTGGAGGTGGTTTGGTTCAAGAAACATAACTGCTAAATTATAACATAGGATACTCACCTGTTCCGTATAAACGACATGTAGGCCATCATAGAACCTCTGTGGGATGTAATGCAGCTATTAACTTCATAGAAAACACAGATGTTCGGCTGAAATCCCCTAGTGAGCGAGTGTTAAAACGAAAAATGAGGAATTTTCAACATTACACATATTTTGCTTGTTCGATGTTTGCTAGTTACTTTATACATGCAAATGCAATGAAAAGTTTTCTATCCCTAATTTCCTGCCCCCTTTGTTCACCAGCTTTTTATAGTTCCCTCTTACTCGGATGCGCGCTAAAGATTGCCAGACCAGACCCTCCACTCGCTTTATTTTGTGACCCTGCTCTTCTGGCACAGCATGACTGAGCCAAAGTTCGAAGGACTTAACATAAAAATTCATCGAAAACTGGAAGAACGAAATGTGGCGAGTGCCGTTCAGGTGTTTAATTTTGCTCAAATCATTGCATTCGTGCCTCGATAGCGCTTCGAACCACGATTTGCAGCCCCAAGTGAATTGTTTGATCATATTCAACCATTTGTCGGAGGGCACCTGCAGGAACCCCAAATAAGCCTGCGAAGCGAATACAACCCCACGTTCCACGGTGGTACGAAAACGGCATGAAAGGGGTACGTGTTCTCCTTACTCGACGACAAGTTGGAAATACCAGCTTTCCTCTCCGTAGAATCCCGGCATTTGTTTCCCATCTATGATTGAATTGTGATTCTTCTGCCGACGATGATGTTAAGTTGAAACTATACTATTGGCCTGACGTTTCGACGCGATCGTCTTTTGCAAAGGCCCAATCCATCATCGCAATAGCGGAATAGAGTTACTAGCCATAACTGACTCAGAATGGCTGTTCTGCTCTTGCGGTGAGGAGTGGGCTAGCGAAGGCTAGATAGGAGCGATTAGTCAGCACAGTTACGGACGCTGCCCACACTATTCATCTACGCTTGTTGGTGGGAATTAGGGTGAGGAGTTTGGTACGATAGTATTGAACAAAATTATAGGGATCTCGTAGCGTAGCTAAGAAGGTTTCGCTTTGAGATTTTGGGACCGGATAAAGATGCGTGCCTTGTCGAAAAAATAACAAAAAACTCTTGCCTATACTTCTGGAAACACCCTAAAAGTTGCATGCATGGTGTTGCACCCGAAAGTGAGATTCTTGCCTTATTGCACCCGCACATCTAAAACGTGCGTTTTTACGCAAGCCAAACAAGAGCTGCTTTAGGTCTTCTGCTCTTATCTGTAGTCGACTTTTGCACGATTTCAGCATGTCTTTCACCCAGTGCTCCCCATGACTTAAGATTGTGCAGGAAAAGCATACCATCCTGGCTGGAAAGCGTTAGTATCACATCAGCTTTTCCGCCTGATATCTGCACTCCTGCTCTAGAAATCGTAAGCCCAGAGGACCCGCGACCAATAATTCTTTGCGCTCTGTCGCATACTGCGCACTGTCAGAGAAGCAGACCGAATTAGTTGAGTGACCTCTCTCCCCTCACGCCAACTATATTTTCACCTAGTGCAACTGTATGTTCAACATTACTGATTCCATTTTATTCACATGGCCGGCACTCCAATGTAGACAGTTCAACGAAGCCGAGTCCAGTGGGAGTGTCAGAATAACGAAGCAGGTTAAAACACTGATGGCTGGAACATCCAAACGTTATGAAGACGTACTCGGAAAGATGAGTTATGGAAAATATGCCACTTACTGGCGGACTGCATAATGAGTGGACAAAGCATCCACCAGGTGCTATGCCACACAACTTTATGCGACCGAGTTGGAAACCTATCTTATCAAAATTAACATTTCGTGATTAATCAAGTCTTCAGGAGGAATTTAGTGTCATTGAATGCGAAGCTTCCTTAAGTGTAAACCGTAGAAATCAGGCAAACATAAGTTGAAACCAAATACTCCTTGAACTTCAAGAGCAAATACAACAGCACCAGGACAGAGAACTTACGAGGGACAAGGGAGAAAACTGCTGCCAGAAACTGGTAGCGGTGGAAGCGAACCGCCTTTCGATGTGCTTAACAGCATGGAGCGAACATAGAGAGAGTGTAAGCTGCTAAGTGTTTAATTTCAGCCGTGTTAATTGCATCTGATGTTCTGTGCAGGAACAAAGAGCAGGACCATGATGTCATTCCGCATTGTATTCAATGCAGACAGCAGCATTGGGTACAACAGAAAATGGCTCAACTAGAACATTGAAAGGTTCAACGCCAGGAGTAATTTCTCTCGAATGAAGAAATTGCAACAGTATCATTACGACCATCTGTATCACCTGCCGTCATTTTGATCATCGTCATCCCGAACTGACGCTTGTCGTTCCGCATCAAGAAGGACGTCACACGCGAAGAAATGTAGCAGAATGAGGCAGAAGCATTATAGCGAATAAGAAATATAGGAACAAAAGAAGTAACCGTAGAATCATGCTGAAAATAATAATCGCACATCGATCGAGCTGTGTGAAGAACACTAGAACTGCCTTAGCGAGGCAGCTGGTACAAGACTGCCGCGTGCGGCGAATCGATTACATAAAACCGGTTCTACTGCTCGCCCCCTTGGATAACAGTACAAAACATAAAAACACTGTATACTCAGAGTCGCCTACATCTGGATGTGGCATCCGAACGCAAGTTCGACTCCCGCATCCTTATCAAACTAGCGACGGTAAATGCGGAAAGAGCTTAGGCCATCTTTATCTCATGCCTATACTTTGGGATCTAATTTTATCGTATCTTACCAAGTAGATTCAAGATCATATGGAAAGGAGAGATGCCAAGTACCGCACATCCCCAACAGCATAACCTGTCCAAATGGTGAGAAAGATACACCTTCGACTTCGTAACTAAACTACAAAATTGAATACCTAAACTATAAGACCAACATCAAACTATTTCCTCCCAATTTTGTCGATTTTGACAATAAGGCAATGTATGAGCCTACAGACTAAAAAAGTTCAGATCAACACAGACGACACCGTCGCAAGACCCATCACGAAGTTAGTGAGTAAATCCTTCTGGAAACGCTTGTCGAATTGTATGAAACTACCTAAAGATTGCAAAAATTTCAGCAGAATTCGCACATCGGTTGAACCAAAGAATGAATAGCGGAGAGATTGAGGTGCAATAACATTTCATTGTATCACTGTGTATTGAAGCATACAAACTGATCGGAATATAATTTCAAAAAGTTCATTAACAAGAGATCAGAAAATTGTGTAAACGGAGTGAGAGCGTTCAGGCAAGCATTATGGTGATAACAAAGGGTGAAGGTTAACGGTCGATGTGCCGAGTTTCGGGAAAGCTCAATGTTAATGAGGGTTCTTCCGAGCATAAAGTTTAAAGGATCCGCTGGCGTGACTCTATGCTTTACTCTACTAGTGAAGGGCCATCTTCTCGCAGGCGCCACAAACCACCACATGATATATTGGCATGCAAAATCACAAAACGAATACCGAAAGAGAAATGGAGATGTTGTGGGGCCTGGCAAGACCGCTATCTCTCATCCGGATTCTGGAAGTCGTTGGCCCGGTTCTGCATTAAACCAGTCAAGTCATTCCACAGCTTAGTTTGCAAACGAAAGGTGAGGGAAGCTTACGATAAGTGCAAAACGTGAAGCAAATAAAACGAGTAAAGAATCTTTAAAAAATGATATGCGTAAGCTGAGTTACGGAACCGGTAGAAATATTGATGTGTCAATGAATCATTGATCTGTAACGACGTAGTTGGGGTGAACACACAGCAAAGGGTTTTTCTCGTCCGAATCCATTTCAATCAAGACATGATCTTCAGTTACAAGCCGACGAATAACTCGATGGCAGATGGTGCGTTGAATGAGCAGATCTTCTTCCGTCTCCAAATCACCTTCGATCATTTCCAAATACCTTAACTTATTAGTTCCAGTCAAATAAATTCGAATGCATCGGAGTTACTTACAAGCAATTAAAAGAATGTATGCTCCGTAAACGCTAGATCGTGAACATTTCTCGACCAAGCACCTGTGCGGCAGCACGGCAATTAATGTTGGGGACGGGTAAAATACCCTTTGGAGAAGCGAAATTTAGCCTATTCCCGGCTAGCAATCACCACAATCCCCGGTAAAATACGAAGCAGTGATTGAAGCGTACCAGTCAATCAGTGAATCTTGCCGAACACCTTCATAGTCTTCCTCAGCCACAGCCTCTTCATCGGAACGCATGTGGAGCACGAGCATATCGGCAAGATGTTTGTACTTCTCGAACGTTATCTTCAGCTTAGCATGATCAATCTGGAACAAGCAGATTTCAAATGAAACCAAATGGAAAGGAAAAGCCGCGTGAAAGTGTGGCCTTGTTGTGCAACTTGTCGTGAATTTACAAATCACTTGCAGAGCACACCATGATACTCAGCATATGCGTGGTTTTCCTTTGCAAATTCATTAAATTATGACCACACCTTGGTGCGCTTTCCTTCAGCTTCATCAGATTCCATGGCATCAGTCTCGTTTTCTTTATCCCCATCGACTTCCATTATTTCATCAGCATCAAAATCGTCATCGAGTGCAATATCCGGTTGCTCGACTCTGGATGGAATTAGGTTCAAAGTTATATAATGTTTAATTTTTTTTGGCAACAGGAATGGTAATCTCAAGGAGATATAGAGATTTTAAGTAGATAATAAGAACTCTGTAAATTCATTTTCTTACACATAAATTTGGAACTAAATAGTCAGATATGGGCATGTGCCTGCAGAAGTCAATTTTCAAACATCGATGAAATAAAGACGCACTCATCGACAGAAGATGGACCAAAGTAAAGAGAAAAAAAATCCCACCTTACAATTGACTTGCTTAGCAATTTTGAAGCTTGGTTCACGTGTTCAACACTGACCTGTAAATGCACAAAATTTGTGTGAGAGAGATATAGAACAAAACAGAACGCACCTGTGCAGCACAGTGTAAACGAGCTAAGGCTTCTGACAGACGCACGAGCGATTCGAGTTGACGCACTGTAATCCTCCACGATGACGTTGCTGCATTGTTACTGTCATTCATTCGTAGACGTTTATAAGCAGTAACCAGTGCGTCAGCTGCTTCTGGGCTAATCTAAGAACAATATTGTAATCATCCGAGTGAAATTACATAATTTTTTTTCAGGAATATAACTGTTTGAAAAAGATAACCTGTGGTTTGAAGCATTTTGCAAACGTAATGTACTTCTGAATCTCTTCCATGGTATATTTGGTCTCACGTGGGCGATGATCAGAAATAGCACGATGGTTATCGAGAATACGACGAGCTACAGCGTAGTCAACCACCTGAACAAAACATTCTAACATATTTTCGAAGTATTCGAAGAAAACGCTCGTTATAGAAGCATCTACCTCATTACATTCATCGATGAGTACAAAAAATAAGTCGAATCTGCTCATGATCGGTGCCGACAGCTGTACGTTGTGCTTCAAAGGTCGTGAGCGATCATATCTACCTCCCACTGGATTCGCAGCAGCCAAGATAGAAGCTCGAGCGTTGAGTGTGGCCTTTACGCCAGCCTAGAAAGGTTGATTTGAGAAACCAAACTTATTGTGTGAATGACCAAAAACATACCTTTGTTATACTGATAGTTTGCTGCTCCATAGCCTCGTGAATGGCCACTTGATCTTTTTGGTCCATTTTGTCGAATTCATCAATACAACAGACCCCATTGTCTGCTAACATCAACGCGCCCGCTTCGATTACAAACTCGAACGATTCCTCATCCTGCAACACGAATGAAAAATGGTACTTCCACCTACGCAAGAAGATGGGACTTTTAGAAGGGAACACTTACCTTGACTACAGCAGCTGTCAAACCAGCAGCAGAAGATGCTTTGCCTGATGTGTAAATGGCGCGTGGACAGAACTCTTCAACAGTCCTAAAGAAAACACACTTGGCATGATACGATACTGATATCCGGGAACGGGAAGTAATGAATATTACTTTAAGATAAATTTTTCTAAACTCTATTGCTAGATGCCCCTATTGTACCCCTGCAATTCCGTAACTGGTCAAAATTGCTTTCATCAGGCTCCAGCTTCGCTTCCAATTCTATCATTCGTAGCTCTAGGTAAGTTGAACAAACTAGTCACAATCAAAAGCGGTATTCTAGTGAAAAGCCAAGAGTTATAGATTGGATCCTTGTCGGTGCTTAACTTACTGATCCATTAAGAAGGTTGCTTGCAGTTTATAACCCTTGGGGGACTCAAATGTCAGCCACTTTCTACCACCTCTGTACTTGAATATCTGTAGTCACCCCGTTTCGTGTAGTAAGCAACAGTTCATGTGTTTCATTTGCTCATGGACGTCGAAAAGGATGATCAGGAACTTACTTTAGAACTTGACTCTTTGCCGTAGACGGATCCCCAACAAGACAAACATTGATATCACCACGAAGAGTAGTTCCTTCATGACTACTTCTTTTCGCCACCCCTCCAAACAGCATCAGCAGTACACCTAGTTTAACCTAAAACGCAGCTATTACCCACTCTTGAGTGGAATAAGTTCGTTCTATGGCAGAGCATGACCATTTCAAAGTAAATTACGGTACCTCCTCGTTTCCGTAGATGTTAGGAAATAGGCTGTCTATCAGATTCTCGGCAATACGCTTATCTTCACTCATTGCCTTCAACGTTGCTTGTTCTTGTTGAGACATTGACTTCCATAAAGACAGACTATCAATCATTTCATGAGAGAAGTCCTTGCCACCGAACTGAAAGCCTTATATGTACCGATGTACCGTGTACTACAACACGGTAGACACCACGAAGAAAGCGACGTGAATATTTGGTCTCTGCTTTGGAAAAATTCTCGGCGTTCAAAAGGACTCAGTGGGAAAAGCTTGCCTTTGTGTTGTTTGATTCAATGTGGCAGCAGAGGAAGGCAAGCTTGTAGTTCAGGTCACGCACTCCAAGTGCCTTTAGCCCAGTCAGCCCCGTATCTTTTTCAGAAGCACGACCACGATTCCCACCACCAGTTTCAGCCTTGAGACCTGAAAGTGTGTTGTTAGTATGAGCTCAGCGTTTACAACTACAGCAACTTCTACCTGGTGTGCTCAACTGAGCGATATCTGGAATGACTATAAGTGTGCCAGTTAGCATACAACGATCACCAGGCTGCACAGACTCAACCATTTCACCACGAACGATGACATCAAATGTACGAGGCACCGAACCGCGAGGCAGTTCTGCTTGAGTTTCCTACAAAGACATTCTCAAAACATTCTGGACTCTTGAATATAAAGGACTATCTGAAATTGAAGGCAATGACAGTAACTTTATAAGATGATTCACCTGAATTCTTATCTTCTGGAAATCGACAAATGATGAGTCGTCTACATCAAGACTGAACCTCGTTCTGTTCATGCATTGCGGATTGGTGCAGCGTGAAGGCTGTAAAGAACGAACTGAGATATCGCGATTCTTTCAATCTAGCTTGTTATCTTTTGGGATTATGTGCACCGCTCCTTTGCTTATTACATGAATCGATATAGTGCCTTTCTCCAAAGTTCTTGGCTCACCTTGTCTACATGAAAGGCTTTACGCACAGACTTGATTCTTAAGGGTCAAAAGTACATTGGAAAGAGAATGATAATTGAGGGCACGCAACTTCGGTTCATTTGATTTCCACGACTGCGCCCGTTCAAGGTTGCAACGAGCGCAGTCGTGCTTGCAGGCTGGTAAATAAATCTGGCTTTCTCTCAGTAGGGCCACCTTTATTGACAATGGTTGGAAGCACAAAATTGTAATCCAGTTCAACGTAAACCGTTTCTAACCACTGCTATTCACCCTTCAGACCATGCCTAGAGGGAATAGAGATCTCTTAGAAGCTCTACTTATTTTGCCTATTTTAGGTAAGCTCATCAATTCATTAGCAACGCTCATACTCATCACAATTAGGTTCAGAGGTTCTATTAGAAATGAGCTATGAACTTTCGTGAGCTGCACCGTTCATTTAGGCCATCTCCAGCCGCTTCAATCCATCCATGAAATTGCGGTTAACCTTCGTTATATTTTTTCGATGGCGGGATTCGGAGCCGGTCGGAATCTGCCTACGGGTTTCAAAGTGTTGATTCGAGCCCCCGTCTCACTCAGTTCACTTACACGTACGTATAAAGTTTCGAGTGAATTAAGAACTGTGCCATTAGTATTACGCATTATCCATAGGCATGTATTTATGAAAATAAGGCTTGCAATACATACATACACTTGCCGCATGCCGCAATAAATTACCTGAGTATATCTGAATTGTTGCAGTACGTTTCTTGTGGTGACACCGCAATCCTCGCAAACAAAAGTCGCACGGCTAAGTTCTGGATGAACAGGGTGAGTTCGCACAATCTGACCATTGATGCACACCATTGCGCCAATCTTCTCAGCTGTCAACTCTCGCACCTAGGATTATTTTCATTCAAGCTATGTAAGATTTGAAAAAGATCAACTTCAACTGTAAGTGATACTAACATTGACGCGATTTTCAAGGCCTTTGAAAGAGACATATACTTCCTTGCGTAACATACGCTGACGATCAACATCTTCAGCGCAACTGTCGATAGCGGCTAGTTGTAGGGCTTCACACATATAAGGATAGAGCCTGCAAAATGTCCATAGTATTCAGTGAACACAAATACCTCAAATGCTACAGAAGCCAAGAAAGAACCCCTTCTTGTAATTTTTCACAAATCAAATTGCTGGAGATTTAAGCGATAAACGAGTAATCCCCAGCCCATCTTTTAGTGTACCAGCCCACATCTAAAAGCTCTCTCTCAGTGCTGAATGTAAAGCAGCGTCGGAGCTAAGTTCAGGCTACGATATGCTTCTACTAAGGCTACATCAACTCATACGAAAACCGAAGCTCACTTGTAGAACTGTAACTCAATCGTTTCGTAGAGAGTAGCACTGTATGAATGGACGTCTCGCATGTCGACAAAAAGCGTGTTTCTTTCGGGTTCTGCTAGTTTGGGAAGTTGTTGTTTGTACACCAAATTTCCATCGGTGTCAACAAATCTGAAATAGCAACCCTGTTTAGAAAAGTATAATCTACTTTGGTTGAAGTCATTTTCAATCCGCTACTAAACGTTTCAACGTTTACCTTGCTCTTAAGATATTATTGCCAACCTATGACAAAGCTTAGGAAATTGGCTCTACACAATTAACACAGTCAACCTGTTGAACCCTAAAATTACCAATTACTGCATGCAAGCAAGAGCAAGTCGCAAAGAACAGCTCACAGTGTAACATACAGGAATTTTGATCATCAAATCCAAACTCCCAATTTTCAAACCTCTTATCTATTATGGTGTGCGGAAAGCATTTGTGGAAAATACCACCACAGTCCTATTTCTCCGACGAAGCTTCTATAGGAATACTATAAAAGAACACTACTAACTTGCATGTACTATAACAAGATCTATAATATTGCAATCGGTCAACCGGATCGTGGTTCACATTCGACCTTTTTGTTTCAGGCTATGGAATATTGGAAGAAGGTGTGGACATAACCGCATAGAAGTGGTTCCTAGGCCAAATGCTTGACGCAGGTTTCAATGTGTTTCAACTGGTCGTACTGGAACTGGTGATGAACACTTTTTGATGCTCTTCCACCTTGCGTGTTGAAAACGGTACATCATCTGGCTGAATAAGCGCGAATAGCCTATACGTTGTCTTATGCGTGTGTACTGTTCTTATATAAAGCTTCTATGGAAGTTTTCGAAAGTATTGGGTGGAATATGGACGTTGTGAAGTTTCCAATTTCCGTACAAACCAACATAAGCACGACACGCACGTTTCGAAAGCCTTACTAGGTGTTTACAGCATTTTTAGTTGCCCTGATTACTTCCATCAGAACTTCTGCGGAGCGATCGGTAGAAGAAGCTAGTACACATCAGTTCGATTAACTGAAGGTTCCGAACTTCCTTCACCTATATCCTCGTGAACAACAAAGACCCCTCAAAAAGCAGACGTTTAGGCGCGGATAGGATTCCGCTGCATCACTGCTCACTGACTACAAACAATCGTCGACTTTGGAACGACATTTTCTTAAGAAAAGTCACCAAACGGTATATTAAAATGTTTCTTAAATGGACTAAGCATAAATACGAAAACACCTGAAAATTTTGAACACGTGTGCTGTAAAGATCCTGAAAGAAGAAGAGAAACAGAAACTCTCACTCTCTTATGAAACGACTGAATTCCGCCTGAATACGTACACCATCAGCATCTTCAACCTGTTGCACACTTCCAGCAGTAACATTCATGATTCTCTCTGGAAAGTTTTAAACTTTTTAAAGGGGTTTTTAGGGAAAACACATTAAACAACAACTAATATGCGAAGAACGCAACTTTGAATGAAAACAAAAAGAACCACTTAAAAATTGATGAATCATTGAAAGCGGCGAGAACGCTACCGCATTTGGACAGTTGGCGCTCGATCTCATTTGAAGTCAACATTTTCCCGCCAACGTCCATTCTCATTCGAGCGCGTCGTGGTTCCCAGGTGCTTTTACTTACCTTCTCATCCCTTCATTTGTTCCTTTATAATACATCATATTCCTTATATACTTTTATTTTCCACTCATCCCATTTTTCGTTCCTCATCTCTATGTATTCGTGAAGATGTTTGCCGGTCCTGCATTCTTTTTAAATATAAAATCAGGCTATAAAACGGTGCAGATTCGCTCACCTTGACCAACACCTTCTTCGCCATGCTTAGCATAGCTAGTACGATATAATCATATACGTAGGATTGTTTTCAAGGCTATTTCAAGATTGATGGTCCCACCCATCCCAGCTTTTTGCACGAAATATTCATCTCTCCCACCCCGGAGCTCCTCGTCTAATTTTTGGAAGGGGA